AAATTAATAAGGCAATTAAATAAAAGAAATTATCAGAATCTTATTCATTCCCCTAAGGACTGGTAGTACAAATCATAAGCTTCTAAGATTAGAATTTACAAAACTAGTATGGAATAAATATATCATCTCTTCAAAAGGTACATAAACATATTTATATATTCTAAGGCTACCATGAACAAGAGGCAGCTACAACCGAAATGCAGATACGTCTTCAATCCCAGCTTCCGTCGATCACAACAACATCAGCAGTCATCTGCACGCAAGGTGAAGAAGTGTAGTATGAGTATAACCGACCCCGTGTACTCAATAAGTAACAAACCTAACCTTACGTTGAAAGTAGTAACGAGTTAGAACAAAGGTCGATCTGACACCAATGACCAATAACAGTTCATGACAATCTAAAGCAAGTAACAAAAGGAGTAACTTAGAGATAAAAAGAACATCTTATTCATAGTTTTCCAAAAAAATAGTTCCGCTTTTCAAGTATATCAGTGAAAATCCAAGCCTTTTACTGAAATTGCCAAAATATATGAGTATGTTTGAAAACTGTAATTTTTTCCAAAAGTTTTTCACGGTAAATGCTTCATTTTCAAATGGCATGATGAAAATACATCTCAATGCCTATATGTTAATATATGTAAGAAGTCATGAATGACGTGATACCGTACAACATGAGGAATGCAACTCAGTGATAAAAGCATATACATACTCTCAGAGTATCAATTTACTCAGTCCTCCCAGTCACTCAGTTCTCACAGTCATTCAGTCTTCACAGTCATTCAGTCTTCACAGTCACTCAGTCCTCCCAATCATTCGGTGCTTGGCACTCGCACTCAGTAGGTACCTACACTCACTGGGGATGTGTACAGACTCCGGAGGGGCTCCTTTAGCCCAAGTGCTATAACAAGCCAATCATGACATAAATCAGTAAAATATATTGCGGCGTGCAGCTCGCTCCCATCATGAATCAATAAAACATACTGCAACATGCATCCCGATCCCATAAACATCCTCACCATCAGTCCCCCGGCCTCACTCAGTCATCAATCTCTCCAGTCTCTGGGGCTCACAATGTCATGAAAAATCAGCCCAAAATAATGATGTGATGTATTGTTTAATGGTAACAGAGATTGATATATGATATAATATGAATGCGTATGACTGAGTATGTAATGCAATGAAAGCAGATAGCTCAATAGCAGAAATAACCTCAATGAATCCCAACAGGATAAGCATGTAGCCTAGGCATGGTTTCTAACATGGATCACACATCAAGTGCTCTAACACGTATAGTACAATAAAATGTTCAGATAAGATAGCTGCACAATTTTTATGGAATCGACTAAATCACAGTCACTTCGGTACACGCCCACACACCCGTCACCTAGCATGCACGTCACCTCAACATCAATCACATAACATGTGATTCGGGGGTTTATACCTTCAATACCAAGTTTAGAAGTGTTACTTACCTCGAAAGAGCCAATTCGAATACTGAGCAAACCAAGCGATGCTCCAAAAATGTCATCCCGTGCGTTCCGACCTCCTAACCGCTCGAAACTAACCAAAAAAACTCAAATACATCAAACAATGCTAAAGGAATCAATCCCAATCGACAAGGGTCAAATCTTGAATCAAAAGCCCAAAATTAACCAAAAAGTCCAACTCGGACCCACACCTCAGAACCCGACAAAACTCACAAAATCCGAGAACCCATTCAATTACAAGTCCAACCATACTAGTTTCACTCAAATCCGACTCCAGATCGATGATCAAAACTCAAAAATTCACTTTCTGAAACTTTATGCTAAAACCCCCAATTTCTCTTTAGAATTCATCAACCAATTGCTAAAAAAGAAGATAGATTCATGAAATAACATCAAAACCAAGTGTAGAACACTTACCAAATCCTTGTGATGAAAATTGATCCAATAAATCGCTCCATTCCGAAGTCCATAGCTCAATCTGTGATAAAAATGACCAACCCTCAAACTTATAACATTCTGCCCAGCGATTTCTGCTTTTGCAGGCACATGAGCCTCTTCTGAGACAGGAGCTCTGCTTCTACGGTCTATTCCAGCCAAGCCTTCTTGCGCTTCTGCAACCAACTGTATGCATCTGCTGACACGCAGGAGCGGAAAGGGCCTCGCACCTACGACCTCTGCAAGCTCCCTTCTTGACCTCTTCTGCGGTCCAATTCTCACTTCTGCGAGCTCGCGTCTGTGGTGCCCACTCCGCAGGTGCGATTACACCATCAAATTGCAAATCTTCCGTAACTCTTCAACTTCAACCCTTATTCCGAAAATCATCTGAAATCAACCCGACGCCCCCCGGGACCTCAACCAAATATACCAACGAGTCTTAAAATATCATATGAACTTAGTCGAGTCCTCAAATCACCTCAAACAATATAAAAAACACGAATTGCACAAAGATTCAAGCCTAATGTATTTTGGAACTTCCAAATTCCACAACCGACGCTGGAATATATCAAATCATGTCTGATTGACTCCAAATTTTGCACACAAGTCCCAAATGATATAACAAAGCTATTCCAATTTTCAAAACCACAATCCGAATTCGATATCAAAAGTCACTACCGGTCAAACTTTCCAAAAGTCAAACTTTCGCCATTTCAAGCCAAATTTAACTACGGACCTCCAAATCACAATCCGGATATGCTCCTAAGTCCAAAATCATCCAACGTAGCTAACAGAACCATTAAAACTCCAATACGAGGTCAAATACTAAAAAGTAAAAAATGGTCAACTCTTCCAATTTAAAGTTTCCTAGTTGAGAATCATTCTTCCAAATCAATTCCGAATAACCTGAAAACCGAAACTAATAATTCACACAAGTCATAATACATCATACAGAGCTATTCATGCTCGTAAACTACCGAGCGAAGTACAATTACTCAAAACAACCGGTAGGGTCATTACAATTGAATTAGTCGAGCTTCATCTTCCATCTTTGCCAAGTTTTTCTCCTCATTACCACACTACCAATGGCCTCGCACCTCATCTTATGAAAACCTAGAAAAAAGTATTTCAGACGGTCGCTCCAAACTTTTCCAAAATATTACAAGCTCTAAATCCGGACTTGGTCATTTATGACTTCAATGAGCCATTGGCTGCTCCGTTGGCTTTATCTATGAATATTCTTGCTGTGCAGTTCCTCCCTTTTGCCGCACTGTCGCAACTTCCACATATCTGAAAACACAGAAGAGGAGTTCCCTTTTCATGAAATTTACGTGCGCGAATACGAAATACTTTTATTGAAGGAAGCTCTTAATCAAGCACCAGGACAAAAATTCCCATTTGACTAGGCACTTAGGCGATCACGCGATATTATTATGGTGAAAACTTGAAGAGACATTGAAGGAAAATATATGAATTATCTTTCAAATTTGGTATCCAAGAAAATAGTCCCGGTTGGTACACTAGTTCAAGAATCCACGGACCAAGATAAGACGAGGAGACCATACAATGGCTTGCCAAGAAAGGAAAAAGTTCAATTGTGTTTGTTTCATTTGGGAGTGAGTATTTTTTATCCAAGGAGGAAATACATGCACTAGCTCAAGGGCTAGAGCTTAGCAAAGTGAACTTCATTTGGGTCATTAGGTTTCCACAACGTGAAAAAATTTGTACCATTGAAGATGCATTACCAGACGGGTTTCTTGGAAGGGCAAGAGAAAGAGGAAAGGTTTTGGAAGGATGGGTTCCACAAGCTGCAATTCTTCAACACACGAGTATTGGTGGGTTCGTGAGTCACTGCGGATGGAGTTCTTTCATGAAAAGTATGAAGTTTGGTGTGCCTATAATTGCAATGCCAATACAATTGACCAACCAATGAATGCTAGGCTTGTAGTAAATATCGGGATGGGAGTTGAAGCAGTGAGGGACGAGAATGGGAAGCTACAAAGTGAAGAGATTGCAAAGGCGATAAAGAATATGGTAATGGAGGAAAGTGTGGAGGCTGTGAGGAAGACAACTAGAGAATTGGGTGAGAAGATGAATGCAAAAGGGGATAAAGAGATAGATGGAGTGGTGGAAGATCTGGTGGCACTTTTGTAACAACAAATGACCAGCAATAGAATTTAAATTATATCTATTAAAAAATTATGCCGTTAGTGTAATTTAACTATTATAATAAATTATAAATATTAATCATCTTAATTTTGAGAGACACGTTATTTCTGGACAATTACCTTAATTAATAGATGGGGTTTAACTTCTATATCACAATTTAACAAAAATTAAACAAATCATTTCACTCTTAAAGATAATCACAACATATACCAATAAGGAAACAGTTAACTTCCACTGGCATGACGGTCACTTCCAATCCAATTTTTAGCAAGTACAACTGCCATATTCTTATTTTAAGACCTAATTTCAGGCCAACATTATCGTTGATCAAAACAGAGTGTTATACTAAAACATCACATGATCAACAGAGAAATAAGCACAATTTCGTCAATTAACACACGATGTCAAACAAATAAGGGAACCTAACAATCACAGGAGCCGATGTAATACACTGTTATGGATTCTTCTGAAAGCATAACTTTCGACACATAATATAGATATTAATGGAACTAAATTAGGATAGAATATTCACCAAATCAGTATCTTTTATTCTTGATTTTATTACTGTATATTTCTGATTCTTACCACTTTGATTATGATTCGTCTTGGATCATCAATAATGATTTTTCTTTAGACTTCGGATACTTGATCGACCCACGTACTTCTATTATGTCAATATTAATTACTACTAATTTATATTTACTGATATTGTGTGATTCCTTCCCACACAATTCACTTGTATTTAAAGAGCACATATCAATGATGCACAGCAAGCCTTTTTCCCTTTACTCTACTCCTTTACGGTATCAGGCAATAAACACTCAAAAGAGTATAGACTACAAAATCATCTTCTCCCTCTTATTCATAAAGTATTCTTTTTTTCCTCCCCTCTAAACCACCAGAAAATCAATGGGTGATTCCTTTGCTTCAGGCACTAATCCAAACAACAATGATCCAGTCAACCCCTCTGTTCTTCAAAACAATACCTCTTCCACAGTTATTGATGTTGTTGCAACCAAAAAACAGATTATTAACATCAACCCAATTGCACAGCTTCCTATCAAACTTGTTGGTGGTGCAACCTTCGCAACATGGAAAGCTCAAATTCAAAAGGTCATGAATGGCATTGACTTGATGGGTTATCTCGATGGATCTATAACACCACCTCCACACACCATTAAGCAAGAAACTCAGGATGTTGTCAATCCAGATTTAAAATTTTGGTTTCAACAAGATAATCTCATCGCCAATGCCTTAATGGCATCTGTCGGTTCCACTATTGCACCATCTATTGCCTCCGCTGAAACTTCAAAAGAAGCATGGAATTATTTGCATAACACATATGCGAACAGATCTCAAACCCGGATCTATAGTCTTCGAGATGCACTAGCCAAATTTCAACGAGATCAAATTCTGTCACTGATTATCTCAGAGAACTAAGAACAATCATTGATGAGTTAGTTGTTGTCGGTGTTCGCATTTCTAATGAAGAATTGGTTGTGAAGATACTGAGCGGTCTCAGACCCGAATATGAAGCACTGAGTACTGTTATTCGATCAAGGGACTCACCTATATCTATGTAGAATTGGCACACAAGCTCACAGATCATGAACTTTATCTCAAGCAAGCTGAAAAGAAGAAACCAGTAACTCCTATGGCTGTTCAAGTTGCACAGCGAACAGTAAACAATAATAATAATGGCAACATGCAATCTCATTGTTGGTCTGTACAGCCTCAATGGCGTCCGCAAACTACTCCTATTGGACAACAACAATGGCGTTCCCAAAACACTCAAAGCAATGGAAAGTTTTCCTAGCCATGGCGTCCCTCTGCTCTGTTGCAGTCCAAAATGCTAATTTAATGTTAGTTATGTCAAAAAATTGGCCATACAACAAATATTTGCCGTTCAAAATCACATAACCATTTTGAAGCCAAGGCTATGTATCCTTCTCGAAATTCTCCCAACGCTGCTCCTTGGATTCTGGGTACTGGTGCCTCACATCATATTACTGCCGATCCTCTAAGCATAGCCTCTCCACATTAATACACAGGTTCTGAAAAGGTTTCAAAGGGTTATGGTAATGGTATTTCGATCACCCACACTGGTTCTACTACACTAAACACTCCACTTCGTTCTTTTTCATTACATGAAATTTTATGTGCTCCTTATCTTAAAAAGTATCTTATATCTGTTTCAATATTTTATCAACAAAATCAAATATCTATTGAATTCGTTCCTTCGTCTTTTGTTGTGAAGGCACTGACTACGGTGGTACCGCTATTACAAGGCTAGAATAGAGATGATTTGTACGAAAGGCAAAAGCTTACAACTTCAGCACATTCATCTCCAACAGCCTACACGGAAAATACCTCAAAAGTTTCTCTATCTATATGGCATCTTCGTTTAGGACATCCTAATATCCGCCTTCTACAGTTTCTCTTAAACAATCATAAGTTGTCTTATTTTGATAATTATTAATCTTGTAATTCATGCAACTGCAATAAAAGCCACGTGATTCCCTTTTCGCAGAACTCTTTGTGTAGTTAAAAGCCTTTTTGAAATACTTTACACGGATGTTTGGGGTCCTTCACCTGTTCTCACCCAGGATAAAAAGCTTTATCACGTTATCTTTGTCGATCAATTTACCAAATACATTTATACACATAAACAAAAGTGAAGTCTTCAAGGTCTTTTCAGAATTTCGACCACTCATTGAAAACTTTTTCAATACTAAGATCCTCACCCTTTATTCAGATGGAGGAGAAGAATTTAAAGGACTAAATTCACTACCAAAGCTCCATATATAGAAAGGAATTGCCTTAGCTGAAAGACATCATGGGCATATTATTGAAACTGCAAGAACCCTGCTTCACCAAGCATCTCTACCGCCACAATTTTGGAGTTTTGCTTGCCAAACTGCTATTTATCTAGTTAACAGATTTCCTCTACCATCCATTGGTAATATTTTCCAATATCAAGCTCTCTTCGGTACCTCTCCTAATACTTCCTCAATTTTTACGTTTGGTTGTCTATGTTATTCTTGGCTAAAATCATATACCAAAAATAAACTAGAACCAAGATCTACACCATGTCTCTATTTTGGATTTTCTACCCACTTTTACAGTCATCAGTGCTTTGATCCCGAATTCTCAAAAATATATTTCTCCAGAGATGTCATGTTCTTGGAAAATATTTTTCCATACGAAAATATTTTTTCAAATATAAAGGATCCTTTCATAATATCTCCTGGTTTAATGCCACATCTAATTCAGATACATTATCTTCTTCTCAAAAGTCTCTAGATCATACCATATCTTCGCTTATTAAATTGTGTAGTCCACATCCACACAAAGATCATGTTACGATCCGGAATTACCCTCCTCGGGACTATGATGGCGCCTAATATTTCACTTGCTAGGCAAGCCAATATTAGAGATTCATTAAGCCAATTCTCAAATATTTCCATAATTAACAGTAATTGAGCTATAACGAGTTACAATGAAAGTGAAAATTCATAACAACCTCAATATGTATATTCTACTACCCGGATCTAGAGTCATAATTTATGAACTTCTAAGATTTCACTACAAGTAAATGTCTGAAAAAAATACAACTATTTTCGAAATGAAAGAAACGGTAAAATGAAATGTGTAGAAGGGGACTTCAAGGTCTGCAGACACCGACATATCTACCTTGGGTCTGCTATAAGATGGATCTAGTAGCTAATCTCACGATCAGCTCGGACCAGTACCAAAATCTGCACAGGAGTGCAGAGTGCATTATCAGTACAACCGACCCCATGTACTGATAAGTGTCGAGTCTAACCTCGGTGAAGTAGTGACGAAGCTAAGACAAGATACCTACAAATAAACCCATGCAGTATAACAATATATGTACCAATAACAACAATAAAAGAAACAAGACAAGTAATATTGAGAGGGGGACATGCTGAGGGGATCATACGATAAAGGATCACAACAGTAATAAGCACTTTGATCAATCGATATACTTTGAGCAATTAGGAACAATTAACCTCGGTAAAAGAAAAGCACGAATCACCCTTTGTGCTTTTACTCTCAACATCACCATATGAATCAACAAAAACGGCACGACATAACCCTTCATGCGTTAATACTCCCCCCCACCAAAATAATGAACAATAACAAGAAGGAGATAGAAATAACAAGAACAAGTCTTACTTTAACATTCAGTTCCATATTACCGACCTCAACCATGAGTTAATACTCAATCAATACCAAAATCCGTAAACATGATAAGAATGATCAACACAATGATAAATTGTAACGACCCCGCCGGTCATTTTAAGAATTAACCCCCCGATCACCTATTAACTGCATTCACCGTGTTTGTTTCTTCTATTGTGAGTTTCCAGGAAGATTTATTTGGACTTTTGGAGAGTTTTGGGACACTTAGTCCCTAAAAGAGAGTTTAAGTTTTAGAGTTTGGACCGTAGTTGGAGTAGAGTAAAGATGGTCTCGGAATGGAATTTCGTCCATTCGGTTAGCTCCGTTGGGTGATTTCGGGCTTAAGGGCGTGTTCAGATTGTGTTTTGGAGGTCCGTAGCTTCTTTATGCTTGAAATGCCGAAAGTTGAATTTTTGAGGTTTCCGGTTCGATAGTGATATTTTGATATCGGGGTCGGAATGGAATTCTGAAAGTGGGAGTAGGTCCACTGTATAATTTGGGATATGTGTGCAAAATTTCAGGTCATTCTGACGAGGTTTGATAGGCTTTTTTTAATCAAAAATTGAAATTGGAAGCTTTGGGAATCCTTAGGCTTGGATTGGACAGCGATTCGTAGTTTTAGCATTGTTTGATGTGATTCGAAGGTTGGAATACGTTCGTATGATATTTTAGGATTGGTTGGCAGGTTTGATTGATATCCCGGGGACCTCGGGTGAGTTTCTAGTGCTTAACAGAAGTTGAATTGGACTTAGGAGAAATATGAAGTTGGTTGAACCTGTCATAACCGCACCTGCGTGTTTTGGACTGCAGGAGCAGCACCGCAGAAGCGGTTTGAGGTGAAAAGGGATTGAACCGCAGATGCGGCCCAGGCACCGCAGAAGCGACACCACATCTGCATAAAAGGAAGTCGCAGGTGCAGAAATACCCGTTTAATGAAAAGTCGCAGGTGCGACTTGGTCTTCGCACAAGCGGGACCGCATGTGCGGTCCCATTTCCACGAAGCGGATTCGCTGGGCAAAAATAAGATATTTCGAGGGTTTGAAATCAAAAGTTAGAAAATCGATTTGGAGCTCGGGTAAGGGCGATGTTGCAAGGATTTTGAAGAGGAAAACAGTGGGCAACGATTCCTAATCCCTTTCTAGTTGTATTCCTATAATCTAATCTTAGTTTTGTCATTAATCGGATTTGGGGTGAGAAATTGTGGAAAATTTTGGAAAAGTTCTTAGACCAAATTTTCGAGTTTTGATTGGGGATTTGACGTCGGTTTTGTGATAATTTTGGTATGGTTAGACTCATGAGTGAATGAGGGTTCATAATCCGTAACTTTTACCCGATTCCGAGACATGGGCCCTAGGGCATTTTGGTCATTTTTTCTAATTTCGCATATTAGGTTAGAATTTATTTGTGGGATTAGTTACTTGAAGTTATATTTACATTATGCAATTGAATTGAATATATTTGAGCCATTTGGAGTCGAGTACTCGTGGCAAGAACGTGGTTTCAGGTTGATTTTAAGCCGGTTCGTGGTAAGTGGCTTGTCTAACCTTGTGTGGGGGAACTCCCCTTAGGATTTGGTATTTTTTGATATCTGAAATGCCTTGTACATGAGGTGACGAGTGCCTAATTGTGCTAATTGTTGAAAATCCTATTTTTATTAAGTAACTATAATTTAGTTCCCTTTTCCTGTTTATACTACTTGCAATTTAAGCCTACTGTTAGCTTAGGAAAGCATGTCTAATTGACTTAATTGCTTTACTTGCTCAACTGCCTTATTTGGATTATGTGCAGCATGCTAGGTTAGAAATATCTATTTTGCCTTGGTATAAAATTTGAATTGAATTGAGTATTCTTCGTGTTACTGTTGTGTGTTTACTTTGGGACTACAGGATGGTATCCCGGGAGATCCCTCTACCTGTTTACTTTGGGACTACGGATTTGGATTCCGGCAGATCCCCTGCACATATATATTGATTTAGACTGTAGTGCGGGATAGCGAGAAATCCCCAGCACATATATTGAGGATATCAAGAGATCCCCAGTATATATATTGAGAATACCAAGAGATCCCCAACACATATATTGAGGGTACCAAGAGATCCTAGGGATACCAAGAGATCCCCATCATGTATATTGAGGATACCAAGAGATCCTCGGGATACCAAGAGATCCTCAGCACATATATTGATGATACCAAGAGATCCTCATCACATATATTAAGGATACCAAGAGATCCTCGGGAATCCAAGAGATCCCCAGCACATATATTGAGGATAGCAAGAGACCCTCGGGATACCAAGAGATCCTCGGGAATCCAAGAGATCCCCAGCACATATATTGAGGATAGCAAGAGACCCTCGGGATACCAAGAGATCTCCGTCACACATATTGAGGATACTAAGAGATCCTCGGTATATTGAGAGATCTCCGGTTGTTATCTTTGTGTTGAGTTGTATTCCTTCTGCAATTATTTTGTCTCTATTATAGTTTTTGCTACTCTTATTACCCTTTGTCATTTTAATAATGTTTCTTTTCCTTATATATTATTGTATATGATAAGTATGGCCCAAACCTTCCTCGTCACTACCCAACCGAGGTTAGGCTTGGTACTTT